GCATTCGCAATAGCTCCTTTGATAGCACAACGCAACCTTCTATAAAAATTCAATAGTCCATGGGAGACTCAACCGGAGAGAGTTGAGCCCTGGTAGCGCGCTTTGAAATCATCTACATCATCAATTTTTTTTTTTTTCGCTTAGTTTTTCCTCGAGGTGAAACGCTGGCACGCACTTGTGCGCTCCCCGAGCGGCCATAGAATCAAGCAATGCACACAGTGGGAAGCCAATTTCGGTAGCAGAAATCGCACGCTCGCTGCCTGATGCCAGGCAATAAAATATTCATTTACTTGACATTTGTTGTTTCCACGCCGAGATGCATCATTCAAGTCAAGTCCATGGGTTTGGGCTTTTTCGTTGCCTGCCACGCCTACTCGAACGGCTCAACGTTTGACACGGTTTTGGGGCCGCACACCGTCAACTTTGCACCCTTCATAAAAAATGTAATTTTCAAAAACATTTGGAAATTTCAAATTGAATTTGCCGCACGCTTGAAGTTCGCCTTTGCCCAAGCCCAAAACAAAAAACGGTATGCAAAGCATCTTCAAGACCCGCCCAGCCCCAACGCAGCCCCAGCGCAGCGCAGCCGGAGCAGCACATAAAAGCTGAGCTAAGTTTGGGCCTGGCCGGGGTGCTTTGGGTAGGTCCCACGTTTCAGACATGTGGAATAAAAAAAAAAGAAAAGTGTAAGTGACATGAAAGGCGCACAAAGCGCAAAAACCTTTAATAACTTTACGCTTTTTGTTTTCAAGTGCACTTGCCAAGTAAGTGCCACGCCCATTCAGCGCCGCCCACCCGACTACACCCACGGCGCTGGGCATTTAAACAAAGCCAGGGCAACTTCCTCTTTGAAGTTGTTTCCTATGCGCTTCTTTTAACGCTCTGTTTCAGTCCAAAAGCCAAACTATACGCATTCATAGCCTGCCCTCATTCCCCACACCAAGGTCCTTTAAGTCCTTTAAAGCGGGCTGGCCAACCCCAATCTACCCCAACCGACGCACTGCCCCCCACTGCCCCCACTCAATGTGTAATTTATGAGCTATTTATTGTCAATAAATGCAGCCTCCAAGCGACCATTTTGTGCGCCGCGACTAAATAAAGACAAATGAACCATCCGTTTAGTGGGTGGATCGAGACATGTGCTTATATGTCACACACACGCACACACACACACATACAGGAGCACACAATGGTAACCGAGGTACTCATTACACAGGCCAAATGGGCAGTTCTGTTTTTTAACCCCAAATTTATGGGGCAATTTATGTCGATATTTTTGCTGTTTTAAAACATTCTTTTAGACAGAATATTCAGATAGATGTATGTATATATATATAGTCGATGTTAAAATGGGCTTTATGTGCATTTTCTTCTAGCTTTTTCAGTGTTCACAAGTGGCAAAATAAAAGCCATTAGAGAGATAATATTTTTTAAACTCTACGGGCATGCTTACCAATTGATATTGAAATGTTATAACGGGTTGCGGCTTAGTTGATATAAAAAAAAATTATTTTTGACCAGGAAGTTATCAAAAGCACAACTCAAACCTCAATTAGGTTGCATAATTAGATTTTAAAAAAATACTTATATAAGGAGCAGGCATGAATAAAAATATTTTGATATATTTATTAATATTTTATAAATATATTTAAATTTTTAATGCTAAAAAAAGATATCTATATATTATGATATATTTATTTTTATTTTTTTTTAATACTAAAAAATATTTAAATATAAAAATATATATTATTTTGCTTGCTTTTATAATCGCCGAAATGTTCTTAGGAAAGAGGGATAAGAAATCGACTAACTATTATTATTAATATTATTATGATCAATATTAATATCAATATTAGTAACAATATTATTGTGCTTATTATAATCATTACTTTTTTTATTATATAATATACTATTATAAAAGTAATATAATATTAACAAAACTAATATTAATGACTTATTAACATTATGATTACCAAAAAAAAAGGAAGTTTAGTTCATTTATATAACATAAATAATATAAAATATCGAATATATGGAATAAAGTTGTTTTCCCAAACTTTAGGAATTTAAATTAAATAGTCTCTTATATCAATCCGATCGACTTAGGAATTACAAAACGTGGTCGGAATGCCCACCTGATTTACACATTAGTGCAACTTTATTATGCCCTTCTTCCATTATTTTCTATGGTTAATATGTTAGCTTCTTTAATTTAATAATTTATTTTCAATATATTAACAATAATAACCATTTAAAAGTAGTAGCAGGAAGTGTAATAAATATTTTTAACAACTTTTAATTGTCTGAAAATTTCTATAACCTCATAAATTCTTTACAATTTGTAATTTCCGGCAGTTTGCTTCACATAGAGCATATTGCCAAGGTTTATATGGAAAACAAGCTTACCGAGTACTTTAAAATCTTATAAAATCTCATAAACTGCGGCTGATGGAACTGGAATCGAGCCAAGATTGACGCAGTCTGAAAAGCAGCTAATCGTATAAATATTTTGGCCGAAACTGCAAGGCATAAACAGGCTAACACAAGTGCACTAACGGCTGTATCGCTCCGCATCGATGCCGTAAACAATCTTGTAAATACCCTTAATTAATTGGCAAGTCTTGAAACTTGTAAATACCGAAGTCTTCGCCGCAATTTCCGTTGGGGAAACTCAAGCATTTTCGTTTCCAAAACTTGCAGCTTGCAGCGCGTCTATTTGCACGTTAATATTGATGTACAGCATTGGCCAGGCACGTTTATGTTTATCTGTGTAGAGCGTATCCCTGAGTTGGGCACTTTTGCCAATTAGGTTCTAGTGTGAAGCCTGAAGGGGACTTTAAGCTTTTGGCAACATTTAACAATATTTTGTTGCTCGTGTGAACAGGACACACGCTGTACGTAATCTATGAAACCGCCCACTGAGTTTTATACAAAGTTCAAATATCCCTTTAAACGTTTCGCTGCGTCTGAGTGTGCGTGTGTGTGTGTGTGTGTAGGTAAAATGGCATCAAATATAATAACGACCACAACAATGCGTGACATGCATGCAAAAGTTGCTGGCCTTATAGTGTGCATTAGCCGAAAGTGTAGCTAGCTGTGTGTGTGTGTGTGTGTGTGTGTGTGTGTGTGTGTGTGTGCGAGTGTGTGTGCGTGTGTGTGTTATATTTTACAAACAGCCAAATCACTTTCTAAATGCAATGCCAATAAAAAAGCAGAGCAAAGTGTTGAAAAAGGTATATATATAAATAGATATGGGGCTAGATATATATATACAAATATATATATACATATATACATGTACGCAGATATAATTTGTTGCTGCTGACAGAAGCGTGTCGCAGCCGGAGGCAAGTAACAAATGAGAAATGGACGCGCTACGTGACAATGACAAGCGGAACGTCTAGAAAAGGGCCAAAAAGCCTATGGAGCAATCAGCGTCTTGTGAGAAGCTCCTTTCAACTTAACATCGAAGCTATCAAAATTTCGATTTTTTCATCAATCCGTAGGAATGGATATTTCTAGATACGGGGCGCCGATTTGCATATCCAGGTTGTCGTATTGTCTAAGTCGAAGTTCAACATAAGATTTTATGTTATGTTTGATAGTTAATATCTATATAGTATATATTTTTCAACAGACAAGTATAATCTAACTGATTATAAATTAAGCTGAAAAAAAAAGAAACAAAAATAACACGAAGTTTTTCATAGAAATTTCTCATACCTACGATCTATCGTGTGATTATTCATGATCGATTTCCCGCCAGCGAAAAAACTCAAATTTACATATACTACTTTAAAAATTCCATTTTTAGTATGTGAGTGGATTTTCCGATCTTTCGGCTTATCACGTTTCAAATAACATTATTCATAAATTCTTAAAAATTAATTTGAAGTCGATCGAATAAAAAATGAAAATGGTGCAATCAGACATTTTCCAGTACACTTTCAAACAACCCTCTTTCACTAATTTTCCACACTTGCGGGTGGAATTTTTGAAAGTTTTTCCTTTTCTCCAATTTTCATATAAGGATATACAGAATAGTATTATTATATAATTTAATGAATCGAAATCAGCAAATCTTAGCGCAATATCAAAACGACAGAATAACAAAGTTCTTAAAAAAAAAGGTTAAAAACCAACTTTATGAGTTTCGGAATAGTTTTTGCTAGTTGCAGGGTATCTCGTTGTCCAGTATTCCAAGCCTGAAAATACTCGATATTTAATATTTTTATTGTTATTTTATTAAGCTCTAAATATATTAAATAATTGCATAAAAAATAAACATTAATTTTTGTATTTAACATTTAAATTGATAACATTTATTCAGCAGAAACAGAGAACATAGCTGCCCTCTGGCGGGCAAACTGTGCAACTCAGCACCGAGCTTTCGCTGCGTGAAAGCTTGCATGAGGGCTGGGAATAAGGCACATCGTAAGCTTTTTCGTTTTCATATCTTAACGGTAACATTTTTGGTACGACTTCAACTTAGACTAAGAACATTTAAAAAAAGAAAACGTTAACACAACTGTACTTAAGAACGGAAATTGGCTTTTCCGATTACACTTCTTCAGTGGTCTCCGTGCGTTTGGTGGCTTCATTGGTCTTGGTTCATTGGTTTAGTTATCTACAGAAATTATAATGCGGGCTCTCAGTGAGGATTTGTCGCTTTACTAGATTCTACACTATCGCAATGCATATCATGTGGAATACTTATCGGAACATGCAGTTGGGTTAGGTCATGTCGCATGCGATTTGCAGCTGCCTCATTACATGCACTAAGTACTCAGCCGGTTATAAATAAATAAATATTGATATTTAGTATTTATATACTTAGTCTAGGTTAGATTAAGGAATAACTCTAAGGTGAACTTTACCATAACGTTATGCGGCGCATGAGACCTAATATATTGAGTATGGTTCACTTAAATATAGACCAGAGCGAGGCGAAAGAGAATTTTGTAACACCCACATTTATATCACATACAAAATGGCAACCCTTTTGGTAGTTTCGTATTTCGTTGAATATTTTTTTTTTTTGATTTGTTTTTTTTTTTAAGTTAGTATGTAATTAGTTTCAATGACTTTTCTGGGATTTGTTATTGTTCTGGAATGTAGTGTATTCAACGGAATTGCTGTGGGATTTTCTTACTTTGAAGCAACGGATCTTAAAATGATTACACATTTCCGAGACCTGCAATTAAATACCTGAATGAGTATGTTATCTGGATAATATTATATGTACCTACCACACCATAGCCATAATGCCAGTGCGCCAAAGTGACGAATATTGTCAGGCCATGTACGAGCCAGCGTTCGCCCTGCGCCGTCAGATCCATGCCGAAAACATGCTCATACCAGGGAAAACAACAGACGCCCACAGTGGCAAGCAGTGGCCACATAAGTATATTAAAGCCATCGCAACGTGTATCCGACATTTGGGCCACAATCAGGCGGCACTACAAAAGAAAAGGATAAGAAGGTTGTACTTAAACTTGATCTTAAAGCTGTCAAAGTTGTAGAGCTTACTGCGATATTGGAGAAGATAGTGCCATAGAGTATCCACAGGATACGCGGCTCCAGATTAATGACTTGATTTCGCGAAAAGAATGACCAAACCAAGGTGATCAGAAAGAGCCAGACGAAGGCAAAGAATGGACGCAACATCTCCATCATGGGGCGCATTTTGCCCGTCTTTTTCTTATATGAGCTGAAAGCAGAGCTTGAATAAAGTCTGGCCCACAATTTGAATTCAATTCTAATACAAACAGATATATGTTCCTTATGATAATTGGATGACTGGATAGTATGCCGGAGCCAATGAGGCCAATCTCGAACATATTCGCCACCGTAAAGCCGTAAAAGCTCGAGCGATAAATTTCCGGACCCACCAAAGTGGCCGCAAACAGCATCACGCTGACGCCCTAGGACGAAAATAATATATAATTATTATTTAAATTATAAATTAAGCTCAGAATATTATTTATTTGAAGCGTACTTACCCACATGGTAAAGTCATAGCCCCAGGGCAAGAACATAACGCCCGTATTATACTTTTCAACATGCGTAAAATAGAAATTGAGAAACACGTTCCATATGACAAAAAACATGCGTATTGGCGGCAAGTCCGCCGTGCCAAACAGTGAAAATATATAGATGGGTATAAGGGCCGCCGAATATGAGTCCAAGCCATGATCGAAGAGCTCGCCGAGCGGACCGCTCGTGCCCGTGCGACGCGCCTGCTTGCCATCCATGCCATCTACATTAGCTCGGAGTTAGTCACGATTTCAGATCAATCAGATCCCAATTGACTCACCCAAATTGTAGTAGATGAGTATGTTGATGGCCGCCACGGTCCAGACCCAGCCGGGCACCGTATTGCCCACCGATTTGTCATTGGCCGCCTTGAAGTCCCAGTCGTAATAAGCTATCAATATGAAGTTCACCACGGTCATGAGAAAACCCACAAAAGTGAGTATATTAGGCGCCAGCCATTTCGGTAAATACTGAACGAGAAGATCTGTCAGGCCCTATTGAGGTTTACGCTTGTTAGAGACTACATACCTTCACGCAGGCATTCCAGAACGGATGCATTATATAGACACTCAGAAAACTAGTGTCTATGCTGTTATACTGTTAAGGAAACATAATAAATAAAGAGAAGTGTTAGAGCATGTTTCAGTATAATTCATTTTGCTGATTGACTGAATGGATGCCTGACTGATCGACTGGCTATCTGACTGATTGACTCCACTAGGTCACTCACTACTGACTGTCTGACTGATAATCTTACTAATTGACTAACTGGCTGAATGACTGACCGATTAACTGATTGATTGATTGACTGACTGACTGACTAACTGTGTGATTGATTGACTGATCGATTGACTGGCTGACTGATTGATTGACTGATTGACTGATTGACTGACTGACTGACTGACTGACTGACTGACTGACTGACTGACTGACTGACTGACTGACTGACTGACTGACTGACTGACTGACTGACTGAATAACTGACTGTGTGATTGACTGACTGTGTGACTGATCGATTGACTGGCTGACTGATTGATTGACTGATTGACTGACTGACTAACTGACTGAATGACTGACTGACTGTGTGATTGATTGACCGATCGATTGACTAGCTGACTGATTGATTGACTGATTGACTGACTTTTTAAGTGACCAACTGATTGACTGACTAACTGACTAGTCGACTGACTGGCTAACTGACTGACTGATAATCTGACTAATTGACTAACTGACTGATTGGCTGGCTGACATGCTGACTGACTGACAGAGTGAGGGACCGACTTACTGACTGACTGATTGACTACCTAAATGATTGACTGACCCATTGACTACCTAACCAACTAACTTGATGACTGACTGTCTGACTTAGTAACTGCGTGGCTAATCATACTGTCTAAACTGTAAGAGCTTAGAAGCTGATCTTTAATCTGATGTCATGTGAATGCTTGCTAAGCCTTATTGACAATTTATGAAAATCTCTCCCACAAATGTGGAGAAATTGGTGTCTTGCCAATAACAATTACAAAGTAAGATATAAGCTAATAACATATGAATTACTAGTAGGTAATTTGCAAAGCGTTCAATAAAACCAATAAAAAAAATTATTTCTATTCTGTCACGGTAAAGTCACGGTCAGTTGTGTAAATCAAGTTCACATCAAAATTCAATGCAATGGAATTTTGGACAACACAAAGTCAAAGTAAATTAAATCGATAAAATGTGCTATGGTATGGAAGGTCTAGTCAATGCGAATATCTAATCGCATCGGGCAAAAAGACAAACATCATATATCAAAATAATCTTTGGCACTAATGCCAAAAATATAGAAATATAGAAATATTTGTAATCAGACAGAGAACATCAATTGGGAATTACATTAGTTATATTGTTCTTTATTTAAATTTTATTTTGATAAAATACAGGTTTAAAGAATATTATTTTTGTATTTTCTGGAGTAGTTTCTGTTTGTCAACAGTCAAATGGAATGAATGAAAATAACTATACTATCTCTCAAGATCCTTAAGAACCCTTAAAGGATTGCGTTGCGCATTTGATATAAGTCTTACGACTCTAGAACTCACAGCTTAGCTAAGGCATATTCATTTTTCACTCAGTGGCATTATATATGTATGTATATGCCAAATCTTATATAGATATTTCAATCTGTAGTCTTTTATATATCATTGAGCCTCTCTCTCTCTCTCTCTCTCTCTCTCTGTCACTCTCTCTTTCTCTGAACTCATCTTACTTATAAGTTAATCTCTCAAGTACAAATTCCAAACTATGAGTTTGCCAACTATCTCTGAACAGCGCGCACATGCTTCATTCGCAGTTCAATGCCTTCTCTGGGATTTACGAAACCTGTGTTCAGCATCATCCGGTCTATTTAATTGATGACCTAGGCCTAGTCATGCCTAGGGCGTACGGCCTATTTGATAAGAATGTCTAAACACATGTCAGTGACAGTGATAGCAAAAAAGTAAAAATATATAATTAATAGATCTACCCATTGCCCAATTCCATAGATTAAACACAACTGACATGTGTGTACGATCAAGTATATATATTTGCAATATAATCATATTTATAGCTGACAAACCGGAACTCGTCGTAATCCTGATAATTATTTTGTTAACCGATTTGCTTTGTGGCATATCAATTTGATTGAATACGACGCCTCTTTAATTATGCATGGTACGGGGGTGTGGGGAGGAGGGGGCATTGATTTTTTGTAGGGGGTCGTCTTGCAGTTGGGCCCATTTCCATAGAAGCCGAATAGACCCCATTTAATGCTTACCTTGTAACGCTCGAAGCCCCGCAAATGAGCCTCCGACAAATAGCGCATGTTACCCATATTGTTATTGTTATTGTTTTGTTTAATGTTATATTTATTCTTGTTGCTATTGTTGTTGTTGTTGCTGTACTGATAACAGCAGAGCGCACAGTTAAATATCAATATAATAATGACCTTTGCCTGGGGTCAAATATAAGCTACTGTCTTCGATTTAAACATTGTATAATTATATTCGCTTCACTTGTAAATTCTCTCGCAGCTGTTCACCGGCACGCACTTTCCTCCAATTATTTTTGTTTTTTTTATTTAACTATATTTCTTTTTTTTTTGACCATAAACCATAAATTAAATAATCGTTTATAGAGACACGGGGGATGCGTTCGCCGTTTGCGCTGCGCCTGCTGCGCCCTTTGTTGTTGCTGTTCTTGTTGTTGTTATATTTGACACGCAACACGCAAACAGCCGTTACTTCACGAGACACACATATATATGATACATATACATATGTATATATAAATACACCTACTGCATATAACAGTAAAGCACTTGTGAGACGTAGCGAGAATGAAAACACTTTGCGACTGCCTCGGCTCTACGTATTATCAAGACTGAAGACGAACTGCTGCCCGGCAGCTCGAGCGCAGCCCAAAAATTAAAAAAAAAATTAAATAGAAATAAACAACAACAAGAACGTTTCAGTGAGTTGCAACCGACTGCGCGATACTCTATGCAATAGTGTATATCATACTGGGGCGAAGAATCACAAAAGAATAAAGCAGGTTGTTAGCTTTACTTACATATATTCCGTAAGAACATTTAAATTTAATATACTTTTATTTTATTTTTAAATTTATTTAATATAACTGAACATTTAAAAGAAGTCTACAATATCATATAGACAAATAATACTAAATTTAATTTTAATTTAATTTTTAACGAGTCTAAAAATAATAGCATATTAAAATTAACTTTTCTTTCGGAATTTGGTGAATCCGTTTTCAAACCAGAAACTGCGTTCATACATGTGTAAAACCAGGCTCACGAGCCGAACCAACGCATTGGTTCGAACCGTGCATCATCAAACAGTGTTTTTATTTAAATATGAAATTTAATTTTTCTACTGAAATTTGGTAAACCAATTGTCGAATCCGAATCTGGGTTCATAACTGTGTAAAACCAGGCTCTGTCTAAAACCAAAACCTTAACGGACTTTTAAAATTCGACTGAGTAGTATTGATTTATGCAACTTGTAGGAGCTCATGTGGGCGTGGCCGTATTTTTGGCCTGTTCCTTAGAGTAGACTTGGTGACCTTTCCACCTGTGAGAAATGCACATTACCAGGTCTTAGTGGGCGTGGCTAACAACCTTTACAACTTTGTCTGACATAATTATACACGTGTTTATATACCAGTAGGACGCTGAACAAAAACCCATATGCCCATTTTCACTTTTTGAATAGAGTATCGAAAAAAAATCAAATCGTTTAATTTACAACGCCGACTGCGACTGAGCTGCTGGCATCGGACTCTCGCTCCGGTTCCACAAATCCCATTGCACACATTGTTATCGCCCAGTCTGCGCCTCTCTTTCGGCTATACGTAAGCCCGCACTCACACACACATGTGTGTGTGTATATGAATTTGCAGTGAATGAATCAAAAATTGTAAAACCTAAGCAAGCACTACTATTAGCACATCGGCCACATAGGTTATTGGTTATCATAGAGCGCCTGCCGCATGGTTTAGTTAGGCTCCAGCTGATAGCCCCAATCTCTGGGACAAAGTATGAGGCAAGTGTGAGGAGGTGAGGTTGTTTATTGGCATCCCAATCGAGACCGGTTAATGTGCACTGCGAAATCTGAGAGAACCGTAACCCCCATCATGTGACGGTGGGAACTGAGGTTGGCTTGTACTTGGCTAAATATAGCCCCCATTAAATTTATAATTTAACGGCAACAACATATTTTTATTTATTATTTCGAAACAGTTCAAGTTCAACTGATAACCCAAATAGCTAACGGGTTGCTATGTGACGAATAAATTAATGACAAACTATCATTAATATATTCGGTCTCTCGAAAAAGAAGATGGTATTTCTAAATAATGAATTAAAAATAATGCAAAGGATTTTTTTTTTAAAAATTGTATTTAGAGCAAATTTTACGACACAACACATCCATATTCCACCTAGGTGCGTGGATTTACTAAACGTGTGAGAAATGACAAATAATTTTCGACATATATCTTTGAATTAATAATTAATCCGCTCTGATGAAAGTCAACAAAATTACAATCAACTGTTTTCCACTTATTTTTAACAAAAACAGGGGAAATTTTCTAACACTGCATCTTAGTATAACTACTTTAAAAACGTTCTAGCCTATACGGTTGTTTCTATACGGTTGATTATCAATCAGTCTGGACGTATTTCCGCTTAACGCTAGTCAAATGAGAAGTTCTAGAAAATTGTATACAATTGTTTTTCCACCATTTTTTCACTGCTTCGCATGGAATGGTCAAATAATTAATCAAATAACAGTTCAGATACAAGTTTATAAAATTTGAAAATTTAAAGTTTCTAGATTTTACGGTTTGAACTATTTATTAGTCAGCAATTGATAAGATAGTCAATCGAAACCGAATTTCCCTTCGAACAAATTCGTTCATATGAAAGAACCTAATTGATAAAATGTTTCGTTTAATCACAATTGTATAAAAATGTGTATGAAAATCAACGTGGCTAATTTCCTGCCCCAAAAAAAAGAAACAATTATAATCATAAGTACATATCAAACATATATAGTAAGTATATAGTATACAGATAACAGTGCAGTCTTATCTAAATTTTGATGACTGGAAAAAAACAGGTTTATAAATAAACAGGGCATAAGCACACACATAATTGAAGTGCAACAGAGAATTGGATAGAATCTAAAGAGGAAGAAATTATGGATTGTATACAGAGTAAACTAGATGCTAATTCGGCAGGTAACTAACTAGTTGAGCCATCTGGATGTCTCCGTGGCAGTCAGACCCTCGGAGCGCAGACGCTGCAACATGGGGCGATAGATGTCCGGCGTGAAGGGCAGCAGCACGCCGCGTTCCTGGATCTCACCTATAAAGCAAATGATATTTAAATGTGAATATAATGTATATACATATATATATATATAGAGATTCGTTTACGCACCATCCAGAATCATTTTGGCCGCAATGGCAGCTGGCTTGCCCACGGTCATGGCCATGGCGGAGTGTCCCTGCGGCTGGCCATAGACAACAAAATTGATGCCGCGCTCCTCGCGACGACCGTCGGGCCAACGTATGCCCACCTCGTGGCGCAGCACGACCAGATCGCGCTCGTCACGCTCTGCAAAGAAACCGCCATTGACTTGCGACGTGGACAAGTGCAACAAGTTGGAAGCACTTACCAAAGGCCAAACGCTTGGACAAATAGTGACTGAGCGTATCCAGCGGGGAATGGAGCTTAACAACGGGCGTTTCATCCAACAGACCCAGGCTCTCGATGCCATCCACATCGCCCAGACGCTCGACCAGCTTCTGTTTGAGGTTCTCATAGAAGATGCTCGTATCGGACATGCCCAGCAGATGTGTGACCAACTGACGCCATGTGACATCGGGTCCGCTGGGATGCAGCAGGGCATTCGGCTCTGGATCAATCAGGCCCAACAGCTGCATGGGCTTGATGGACTCCGAGAAGCCTTTGTAGCGTATGGTGCCGCGCAGCAGCGTATGCACATCCCGGCCCAGACCATAGAGCGAGCCATATTTGGTGGAATCGCGATTCGGGAAGCCCTCGAGCGCGAAGCCAGGCAAAAAGTCCAGGCTGCGTGGATTGGACATCAGCTCGCCACCGCCAGAGATCTCCACAATCTGGCCCTGGCTCAGATATTTGGCAGCCGACAACGTATTGAGCAGCACGCCGCGCGGCGACCAGGAGAACTTGTAGCGCAGCGCATTATTGGAGTGCTCCGGTGCGGGCAGGCCGCCACAGTAGCTGACAAAGGATTCAACAACGGCGCCCTTCTCCTGCACCTCGTGTATGCACTCCAGGGCCAACAGATGATCAATGCCCGGATCCAGGCCCACCTCGTTCATGATTGTCACACCATTCGCACGCGCCTCCTCATGCAGTGCCGATATCTCATCATTCAGATAGCTGGCGGTGACCATGTGGGTGCGCTCCGCCACACAGTAGCGCGCAATCATGCCATGCAGGCTGTAGGGCAGCAGGGAGACAACCACGTCCGCCTTGCCGCACAGCTCCTGCAGATGCCCGGTGCTCTCGTGCACATCCAAATAGACGCTATCGACGCCCGCATATTGTTGGGCCAGGCGATCTGCCTCCTCCTTCACCTGCGAGCACACCGTTATGCTCACATCCTTCTCACGATGCAGCCACTCGACCAGCGGCGCCGAGACCATGCCGGCGCCCAGCACCAGCACCTTCTTGTGCGACTCGGAACGGCCTTCCATCTTGTGGCGCGAGCGATTGCTCTGCGAATCGCGCAGCTCTTGAATATACTGGAAGCTCTCCGTCAGCTCGCCGTTGCTAGCGATAATAGCCTGAGCAAGAGAGAGAGAGAGAGAGAGAAAGAGAGAGAAAGAGAGAGAGATGAAATAATATGTCCACTTGTTTACTTGGATCTGATAAGCTAAAGGTGAACACGTGCTTACACATTTCCTATACTAATCTTATAGAGGGATTCATTTCCATTTAAATGAGTATATTTTTAATAAAGATAAGAATATATTTTTAGGAGCAAAATAAAATTCATAGCTTACATTTAATTAAGGTCTTTAACACCTTAATAAGCTATAACTAACCTATTTCGCTGATAGCACTAAAAAAATCCGATTTGTTTTCAAATATTGGGAGCAAAGTTTGAAAGTGGGAAAAAAAGGTTTAAAAGAGCTGTTTAAAATCAATTTTGATGATTGGGCTGTATTTTTTTTTAAATATATGAGTCCAAAGCAATGACAGCAATTAATGGGGCGAATGTCTCGATCATCTTTATCGGCATTCTACTTGCCGTAGTCAGAGTCTCTACAAAAACTGTTGGCCATATTGATTTAAGCCATTTGCCCGTGCTCAGGTGGACGTGGCCAAAAAGCATTGATCTGACATGGGCGGAAAAATTAAAATACAAGTCTTAATTATAAAACAAAGAAGCTAATATAAGCACATAGCACAAATTGTATAAGAAAATATCAAAATTAGATTCAAATTATTCCACTAAAGATTCCAGACGAACATTATGAAAATGTTATAATAATAAATTAATAATAAAGAAGCTTTTCGAGCATTAGTACTGAGGCAGACAAACAGCCAAAAGAACATTATAGAGTATACAAATAAATTCCAAAAAATGAGTTTTAGTCATGAAATAATCAAAATTATAATAACCCATAGCTGAAACCTTATAAGAATGAATACTCCAAAATGGGTTTAAAAGTATTCCACCCAATATCATGGAGAATCTGCTGAACACATTTCGGATATGGGTTATGAACAGAGTATAAAAAAAATTGATAGTAAATAAATAAGTTTAAATTATACTATAATAAAGACTTATATTTAACGAAACATAGATTCCAATACCATAGTATCGCATAGAATATATCCCTGAAAATCTTATAAAAAAAAACAGAATGGGATTAAAATTATTCTATAAAATATGACAGAGAATGTGTTTAAAACCTTTCGGACATGACAGACAGACATAGAGCCTGAAGGACATTATAAGCAGAGTTTAAAAACTGTTTTTGATAATAACTAAATAAGTTTAATTTCGATAGTAAAGGAGCATATCTCATGGTATCCCACTGAATATATCCCAAAAAATCTTATAAGAAAACAACCAAATGGTATAGAAATCAATCCTCAAATATAAAAGCGAACCTGTTTGCTGAATCAAAAAAATAATAATAATAAAATCAATAAAATAATTATACTTATACTTAAATTAAAATCTATGCAGTTTCATAATAATGATAATACGTCGAATCTCTTTTCTTAGAACATTTATTTGATCCGATCATTAAATCACCCATTTTGTTTAATCAGATCAAGTTTTCCTTCTATTCCTTCTACTAGAATTTTCTACGATTTCCAATCACTTTTACTCAGTTTCGAGAACTTTATGACAGCTAGCTAAGCTGCCTGAACTATCTACATATACTAGTATATATATAATGAATAAAATAAATAAAGCTAAAAATATAGATTCTATATGTTCGGAGAGCAATATTCGATCTTTACCAAAGAGATCACATAGATCTTCCACAACAAACCTCTCTACTCACCGACTGTATGGGATAGGAAAAGTGCTCTTCGTGCAGCGGCTTTTTGGCATCGCTCCTGATGATATCATGGACATGGGGCGATAGGAGTTCACCAAAAAGATCGGTTGACTCGCGAGGCAGCTGCGTGGGCATATTGTCAATGGAGCAGACCAGCACGCCGGGTCCCTTGAAGCTCTTGGTATCCTTGTTGCGATCCGCATCGTACAGGCAGAAGGGTGTATCGATTGTGGTGCACTCGTTCATGAACTCTATGGAGCCGCCCGGATCGGCGGATATATCACAAATGGCGAGCATGCGATGTGGCAGCGCAGGGCTGCCTTTGCTGGTCGGCAGCCAGGGCGTGTTGGCCGGACGTAACAGATTCTTGGCATCCGGAATGCTAATTAGCTTTGGACTGCCAACAGCCCAGTAGATGCCATTGAGAATGACCGAAGCGTAGGGCGCAATATTCTGGCTAAATGTGGAAATATAACGTTCGGGAAATTCATCATACTCCTTGGCATCAAAGCCGCCGCCCTCGCGACGCTCCAAATGATCCGAGCGGCTAACCTCGCAGCCGTACAGCTTATTTTGATCTAAATCGGGCACACTTTAGAGATTTCCGATTATATATTCGATTCTAAATACTTACTTCCATGCTCTGCCACTTTGCGCAGCATCTCTGGCGGCACATACTCCACGGGCAGCTCGGAGAACACTTCCTGCGCACCCTGCGATACATTGCCGGAGCCGGTAAACACAAAGGTCAACGGCCCAATTGACTTGGGCATCATGCCCAGCGATATCTCATAGCCGCAGTCGCGAATCGCCTGGCGGGCCATCGAGGAGTTGCGATAGTTGTGAGCGGGTCCTATGTGCATGAAGGGTGTATGGTGACCCAGCGCCAGCAGGCGCAAGCCAATGCCGTGCAGAATGTTCACCATGCCGGCTATTCCAGCGTATTTGCCAAACGCCACCTGGCGGGCGCCGCGCTCATCAATGATGCGCTCGTAGTCGATGAGCCGGATTTTCTGTGAAGCTTCGATTTTCAAGAGATCTGAAGATTTATATAGTTTCTCGGGGCACTTACCTTCTCGAGTATGGCATCCAGCAGTGGCATATTCGATTCCTGCGCCTTGATCGTGTGCGAGAAGAAGCAGTAGGTTTTGCCCGGTATCAACGCATCGATGGGCACCTGCTTAACGCCAAAGATCACGGTAGCATCGCTAATGTCCTCCTGTATCTGGGCACCAGCTTGCATATACGCCTAAATTGATATGTAGATATAAAAAATAATAAAAAGTGGATTTTTGTGTTATTTGGAATTCCAAGAATTTGTCGAAATTAACTTATCTAATCGATTTAACATGCTATTTCCCCAAATATTATGCTTTCGAGTTTCCTGAGTATTATCAGTTTTTTCTTATCCGTAATCTCGCATATAAGGTCTTAAGTATTTACAGTCAGCATAACACGCGACATTGGAAGACTAATGCTAAATCTATTTTATGATTACGAACAACAAAGATACTCTATAGGCATTGTGATTAAAAGTTTGGCATTAATCTAAAACTCTTATTTGTAGGAAAACAATTTTTGAATGATTTGAATGAAGATTTTTTTAAAAACTTACTTTCAGAGACAAATTAAATCAAATAAATTTTAAATTATTTTTAATTTAATTTTAAAAAAATGATTTGTAGAATTGAAAAAAAACATCTTTAAAGTTTTCTACCTCAATTGCTTTTTGTCATTTTGTGGAAAGTCGGTTCCGTAACTGGAACTAATTCTCGCTATTGTATAAATTCATCCATTGTATAAATCAGTTCAGTACAAAATGTCCACTAACAATAAATATTATTTAATTAAATATATTCTCCTTCAAAATCATGATCTATAAAACTAGTATGCTCCTTGGCAACTAATCACAATCGATTTTCCCATTAGCTATCATGAATGATATTGTGTTATTGTTTTGAAAATGTCTATCAACATAAATGTATATTGTTTTTGTTAAACTCGATTTTTATCTGGCGAAAAAATCAGTTGACTGGACAGCAACAATTTCGAGCGAGATAACACGGAATTACGCTCCGTATTCGAGTTTTGACTGGTTCCAAGGCCAGCAATTGCCAAATTTAGAGCCCAACACGGAGGCTTATCAAACTCATTTGTTTTTATGATGCCGCCCCATAAACGTACTATATCATTCGACACAGTAAACACGCTGCTGTAGCTAAGCCACTTTTTTGACGATGTAGAAAAGATTTGTTGATTTTATATATATGTATATATTGGGTGTATACTAAAGCACCCTTTTTTTTTAATATTATTGGTATTTGCTACTGGGTTTGAACCAGCGACCTGCCGCTTGTTGGTCCGACGCTCACGCACCTAAGCCAAAGCTGCGTTGTTGACCCAAAAGGAAGCTTCTGTATAAATTTCAGCTTAAGAGCTCTTATCAATCAATCAATCAACCAAGCAATCAATCAATCAGTCAATCAGAACAAACTCTTTAACATATAGAAATATGTAAGTCTTGACTCACCCGCATAGGATAGGCGCGTCGATTGGAGGGCTGTACAATGACCTTGACGCCCTGCTTGACAAGCTTCTGGACATGCGTGGGTCCAAATGGCGCACGACGCTCCCAAACCGATTGATCCTCGCGACGTATGGCAATTACGCGGCTGTGCTATAAATATTAATAGAGCGTATGACAAATGGAGATTCGCACGAGCTGCATCCCATCTGGTATGCAAATTAATGACGCCCACTTACATGACGCTGTCTGGTGAGCGCAGGCGCGATTGTTGGTCGCAATGGAAGCAATCGCCACATGTTTTTGTTTTGTTGTTTGCCAATTCACTTGCTGATTAAGGGGAGCTGGAGCGCGGAGAGTAGTCGCCGAAATGTAAAGTGTCTAACGAAAAATATAAATGTTCCCAAATGCTGATGCCGATGCACCATCCGTCAGCACTGAGCACTCGCAGCGTTCTAACCCCGAGCAAGACGTCGACGCGCCCCTATCAGCGGCACGGTCGGACGGACGGACGCACGGACGGACGGACGGTTCGACAGATGGACGGACGCATGTTGGCGATAAGCGGTCACACAAAGCAACGCTGAACGCCATACAGATCGTCTCCGGGGAGCGTGTAAACCTAATAAAGAAACAAGAGGCGTGTGTATTAAGTGCTCTTTTTTATGATTTGCTACTTACGCGCGAGTCGCACACGCAGAGAAAGTGTTTCCAGCTGAAAAATTTTCCATTCACAATCAAATTCCATTGAAGAAAAGCGCTGGGAGTTTTCCACACGTGACACATTGATACGAGATAAGCAAGTTGGTGTTAAAGCACATACATATATATATGCATATATATGTTTTTTTTTTTATTATAATTCATAATTGCAATTCATCGGTTTCATAGTTTCGTTTTGCCTTTAGAGCAATTGTAGCCATTCACATCAAAAACAATTTTATTTATTCTTATCGCTAAAAAAATCACTAAAGCTACGGGGGGGGGCTAGGCTGCGGCACGGAGACTGGCTGGGTCAAGCCCATTTTTGCATGCTCTACGCACATACAGACATATTATAAATATACATATAATTCATTACATAGCTAGAAAAACAGATATTGCAAAGTTCAGGTATGCATAAATGATAACATTTATAAATGTGAAAAGTGTGGGGAGTGTTAAGAAGGAAATAATGGAAACATAATCCAGAGGCCACATAGAATTGGACGCAGTAGGACGTCAGCCTTTACAGCGCCGGCGCCTCGGGCAGCAGCGATGTGAAGAACGTTATGACAAAGGTGCGCACAATGGAAATCACAGAGTTATTGGCATTCGCTTGCTCAACAGCCACAGCCTCAGCGGCAGCAGCAGCAGCATCGGCCTGATCCGCACCAGCGCTAGCTGGCGCTGGTGGCCGAGCTGCATCCTCCTGTGCAGCGGCTGGTGCCGGTTCAGCGGCAGCCTGCGGATTATTGTCATGCTCAACGGCAGCGTCCATCATGCGCTGTATTTGCTGCACAGCCGCAAATGCGGCAATATTGTTGCCGCCAGCATTATTGTTGCGGTTGATGTTGTTGTTGTTGCGCTCGCGACGACGTCGAAGTACACCAATGTGATAGCTAGAAGCGAAACAAATATGAAGAGTTATTTAAGTTAGCAAATCATCTTGGCTTTTAAGCCCATACTCGTACTCACAGATAAATAACGCTCGCGATGAGCACCACCAGCAAACAGCGCATTGGCGACGAATTGAAATATAAAACTGTTACAAAAATGGCCAATCGGGTAAAGCTAAAGAAACTATCCAACCAGTCGCGCATCTCGGGCTCCTCTTGTATGTTAGGAAAATTGAGTCCATCCACTTGACGGGCCGCCGGCTGCCGCGCAGCGGCCTCCTCATTTGGTTGCCCAGCACCAGGGCCAGTAGCTCCCGCCACTGGCACCGGCTGATGTCCCACAAGCGGCACACCCATATTGTTGGCTAGGCCAGGCATGCCTTGCATAAAGGGAGGCAGCATTGCTGGTGGCAGCACACCGCCAGTGCCGCTAGTGCTGAAAATAAACAAATCGATATATTATTATTTTATTTACTGTATGTATATAGATAGTTTTAATATGTAAAAACATTTAACTCACGGAAAATATCTGTTTTTCCCACATTTACATTGAATAACACGCGAGCCTAGCTATAACAATTTGGCTAGATATACATATAGACCGACATACTCAACGGGTGTGAGCTTGCAAGGATATTTAAAAATAAATAAAGATCTCGCTTTGAATTGCTTGCAAAATCAATAATCTGCAAACGTGGCGCAATGCCTTAAGCTGTTGCCACGTGATATATGAGCGAACATTTATAAAATTAGAAATTATTTATAGCAGAACCAACGTCGAAATATAATACCCTCTATATATAACAGGGTATTCCCCAGACACCTCAGGGACTATAAGACCGAAAACTTAAATTTTGTTGATATAAATATTTTATAAAACAATATCAATATAATAATATAACTGAACGTTGGCAGGGTGTATCCTAGTTAAACTTGTTGCTAAAGATTCACAGATTGAACTTGTTTTAAATGGGAACCTTACACTGTGGAAATTAATCTATAGAATATATCGGAACCCATATTATTTCCGTTTATGCACGCTTTTTGGGAACTCACCGTTGCATCGTCTGTTGCATATAGACTGCATACCACTGCTGGATCCAGGCATTGTAGAGAAGCACCTGCTGCCGCTGGAAAGCCATTTGTGAAGTTGGGGATGTCGATGCCGATGGCGATGTCGATGCGTCCTGGGCAGCTGCCATTTGATAAGCCTGATTTTGTAACTGCAACCAGATATGAGAGTCAATCGTTTGCTGTAGGCTTGGCTGCTGGTAAGGAATCTGAGCGGCGGCAGCTGCGACGGCGGCGGCCATATGACGCTGCCTCAGCTCGTTGTCATTGGTATTGGTCTCCACGCGGCGCGGCGTGGCTGTGGCTGTAGCTGTGGTGTCCTTTGGAGGCGTGGTCGTCTTATACGGCGCCTTGGCTAGATTTTTGTTAGCGCACACCAAATGAAAGATGTGATGCTGCTGATAGACATCCTTGTAGCTTCGTATAACCTCCGACAGCTTTTGGGCATCGTCTAGCAGTTTGCCCGAATAGATGAGCTTTTGGTCGTTAATTTCCTGTAACGCAAAGTAGATACAATTTTTATTAGCTTGTAATATAATGGCCACAAAAAAGTAACCTTTAAATAAAAGCATATAAATAGCCAATGAATTTGTGATTGATTGAATTTAAAAGAGGATTGCAAATTATTAATTCCAGTACAAAAGAGAGCTTGTTTATTATTCGACAGGGCATCAGGCTGAATCGAAATAGTGTTCAGTCCCTTTCTCTGTCCATCGGTTTGTTTGCCAGCTAATCTCTAAGCTTTAAGTCGATGCCTATCTACCCATGATAACAAGCTCTAGTATTGCTTGGACTCACAACAAAATCTTAAGCTATCAGCTTCTCTATTAATATAATTTCTCGTGTAGTTAATTGAAAAGGTCGCTAAATAAGCTTTAGGTAGTATCTAGGAGTTTTTTAAATTGTCAAAAACTCGCCCAAATAACTTCCTAGCGTTAATCTTCAAACGACAGACTAAACTCCTACGAACTAGGAAGTTGAACTTTGCACAGCATTTCTTTTTGTATTTCAGAAAATTGCGTAAACTTTTCTAAGCAAGTTTATGGCTTTTCTTCCAAACTCATTTAAGAAAACATTTGTACAAATCTCCTGAACACATCGTTCACCCATTTCGTACAGCCAGCCAATAAATGATATTTATTTCCTATATGACATCAAATTAACAACAGTTGAGACAAACATACATACATATTGTACGTACAGTATATATTATCTTGCCAGGTGCCAAGATATTTTTTTGGCCATTAAATTAACTTGATCAAATATTTTCTGATGAAATGGAAGCAATTTAGCTTTAACTAGCACAATATAATAAAAATACGTGTCCAATTGTTAGCTGCACTTAGAGTTTGTATTAAATGACGTGTACTTCGGCAAGTCAACGCCAAATTAAGACGCAAAAGACAAACAATTGTCGCTCTTTGAGCGCAGAAGATACACAAATAGCAAATAACCAAAGATTGGCCAGCGCCCCGCCTGATAAGATAGGGCATGTTCAAGGCTGACGTCAATATGAGGAATATGCTAATATATTTATATCAGCTGTGTGTGGTTGTTTATGTGTTTGTGTGTGTGTGTGAGTGCGTGTGTGTGCGAGAACCTACCGGCTTGCCGGGATACACCAGGGACAGCTGCTTCTTGAGCCTCTGCACCGTCCAGCAGAGATCACTCTCGATGTTCATGTCGTCGTATTGCTGATTCGACGATTTAATCAAGAGCCTAATGCTGTTGGCTGCGACAGCGGCAGCGACGCCTTCGTTTGTTTTGTCGCGCGCAGCATCATAACCAGCGGCCGTAGCAGCCGCTGGTGACGGCGACGGCGTCGTGGCTGCAGCGGTATCGTCCATAGTTTAACCCTCACCCTCCCGGGCACTTTCTGCGACGTTGCTAATTGCTTGCTACGAACACTCGATACAAAATGGAGCAACAATGCCAGCGACAAGCGACAAGTGTTTTTTGTGGGCTCGTGATTCGTCAGCGTCCGGCAGTTGGTAGGGGGTGGGCAGTGGTATGCAGGGGCACCGTATTTTCCTCTTTACTTGTGTTTGTATTGTGTAGACTTCCACGGTCACTTTACGTCTCCCCTCTGGCACGATTTTCTTGAACAATAAATTTAGCTAATCCCGAATATTGATTGAGTTCTACTAAAAACGTAGCTGTTGCTGTGTTTCGTTGTGCGGCTCCTTGCACTAAAATGAGAACTGTTGATTATGAAACGAATTTCCGAACAGAGCCGAGCTGAGCAAAATAAATAATCAAAGTTCCTTCGTCTACAGCAACACTTGTTTTAATACACACCCAGGGTTGCTTTGGCAGCTGTGGCGTTGCCACTCTCGACGAAATGACGTGTATCTAGCAGAAGTGTGCAACGATCTGTTTAATATTATATTTTATACAGAACCATTTTTATTGAACTATTGAAAGTGAAATCAATCCATTAATAATTATAGCATTAACACTCTGGGGGCAAACAATAACAATCGGCAAATTTAGTACATTATAAAAGCCGAATGATTGGCAACACTGTCACATATATCAAGTAATTTTAAAGAGACGCTAAATATCATTTGTATGCGTATTTCCCAAGCGCAGAAGCGTCTACAGCTCGCCAATACATTTTCAAAAAAGTTTTGGATATATTGAAAAGCTCATGGAGAACAAGTCATCGGTTTCAGCGCTTCAAGAATATTGTGCTCAGGCCAAGACTGGCAATCCTGTATACGACTATATTGACGGCGAAGACGGCGGTTATGTCTGCAAAGTCGTTCTGATGGACATCGAAGCGTATGGAAATGGTAGGTATATGTAGCAAACATTAAAACCCATTCTTAAAACTGAATTTAACCATTGCAGGACGCTCCAAGCGTGATGCCAAGCATTTAGCTGCCGCCAATATAATGCGCAAGTTGCGAAAGCTGCCGGGCTTTGTTAACTTGGATGCAGATGGTGACGGCGATGGGCAGGACAACTTTAATTTAAACAGCGTGGCCGACGAGCTGACAAACATGAACCGGGACATGTTGAAGGAGCTGCGTGATTATTGCGTACGTCATGATATGCCGCTGCCTATTATTGAAATAGTGCAGCAGAGTGGCTCACCAAATGCGCCCGAATTTGTGGCCTGCTGCTCCGTGGCCTCCATCAAGCGTTATGGCAAATCTGACAAAAAGAAGGATGCACGCCAGCGCGCTGCAATTGAAATGCTGTGCATAATATCGAACGATTCGGACAAAGCTAGTCCAGAGACGCAGCTGGTTAGCACCAAGACGGGAAACACTAGCGAACTGGAGAGCACCCTTGAGGATGTAGAGGCCGAGCGTCGTCGCAAGTTCAAAACATATCGCGAACTGACCGATGCAGGTGGCGAAGATAATCAATCTGTCAAACTATGCGACCGTCACAATTACTTCAAATCCTTTTATCCAAAATTAAAGGAGGCCGCTTTTGAGGTTCTGAATTCCACTGACCATGTTTCGTCCAAGGCAAAGCTCTTGGATGTGCTCGGCGCACTTAAGCTAAATCCACGCACCACAGCGCTGGAAGCAAAGTCAATGGAACCTGTGCTGCAGATTGAATTGAATTGTGATTACGATTGCGTGTTTATTGGTCCCGAGAGCAAGATCTATAATGATATGATCCAATACTTTCGTGTTATGTTGGTTTAGACTGAATGCGATCAGAAATGCTGGTGTTTCTGTATATATAACATATATTTCAACTAATACTTAAAACTAAGCAAACGTGTTATTTACAATAAACACTTGAAATAATGCACATGATAATTATATATATCTATATTGTATATAATATCTATACTTACAACTACATTGTATGCATAAACTTTGTACGTCGCTTAGACCTAGTAAACGTCGTATAATAAAAAAAATACATACATATGTTTAAATATAAAAGCGAGAGTTCTGTTAAGGTCGTCCATGTACAATTATTTGTTAATGTTGTTCAATAATTTGGGCGAAGGAACGAAATCGCAATATCTTAACACAATATTTACAATCGTTTTTATTCGTGTAATCAAAATAATCGTTTCTAGTCGTACTTTATTTTGCGATTGTATTGTAGTTTGATTTTACGGGAATTTCCCTTATAACAAAACTAAATAAAACTATAAATACGCGGGCTCTCTTGTATTATATTTCTAATTTATATATAACAAAAAAAAACGTTTGAATGCTAAAAAACAATATGCATTTATGCACGTGGCATCAATTACACTTTATGTAAATGCACGAATATTTTTGAATTGTAATTATAAATAAGCAAAAAATATGTATTAATAAAACTTAAATGGTTCTTTCAAACGACCGGGATTATATATGTGTCTGTAATATTTTAAGCACACGGACAAAGCTAGCTTTGACACAGCTTATGACCCTCCAATACCCTGTAATGGATGCAGAACACAAAAAAAGCAAAGCAAAGTTACACTGGATTCTCAGTTAAGCTTAGGCAATTGTTGGAGAGAGTTGCGCATTCGTTCCTATTGCACCCAAATAATGTTGTGTGTTGAATAAACAAGCCCAAGTTTCATTTGTGGGCCTAGTGTAAATTTTACTATTAATCTATAAGATTTTCATTACAAAATAAATGTCAACAATAACAATTTCAGCAGCCGGTTTTAGCTTTGACTCTCTCACTATAAGGTTGGGGGAATCCCGCCTAGTAGCTGATCTTCTTGCGCAGCTTTAGGTGCTGCTGTTGCTCGCGTTCTGTGGTCAGGCGACTGGCTCCACGCGGAGGATGTTGATGCTGCCAGGGCAACAATGGTGGTTGCGTTGGTGTCGGTATCCCAGAATTGGAAGCTGATGTGGAGGCTGATGAGCCCGACTCGGCAAAGATTCGACGCGAAAGCCTAAAACTGCCGCCTCCAATGCTGGTTGTGGGTGTGCCGCTGTTACTATTATGTTTACTGCTGCTGCCGCTATTATTGTTGTTATTGTTGTGGCTGTTTATGTTACTTTTGCTCATTGTGGAAGCAGCGGCTGCAGCTGCCGCTGCTGCTGCTGCTGCCGCTGCGGCAGCGGCAACAACGCTCGTCTTTCGCAGCAACTTCGTGTTGTATTCGTCGCACTTGTCCTTCTCAATGCGTGTAGAGCTGAGGGAGCGCTTGTTCCGCTTGCTGCTGACCAGGTTATTAAAATGATGCTCGTTGATGATGGCACGCTGCTCGTCGCTAGCGGCACGTCCGTTGCCGCCATAGATGCCCATACTAAGCCGGCTTGTGTCTGGGGGAGGTGTAGAAGAATGCGAATTACTCAAATTGCAATTGTGATTGTTGTTCAAGTTGGGTATCTTTGACTTGGCAGCGCTAGACGCCTCAGTTGTAGTTGATGTTGTCTTTGTTGTCGTTGTTGTAGTTGCAGCTGGCAGCGGATTGGAGTTAAGATCAAGCGCAGCGGATGAGGTTCGTGTCGCTATATTATAGCAAACGGCACCTGCGCCCGAAGCACCACTACCGCAAGCATTGGCCAACGACGAGGACGACGACGAGGACACGGTGGGTATGGCGGAAACATCACGATAATAACGCGCCGTTGCCAGCGTGCACGGCTGTGGCGCCTGCTCGCCCGCCCCAGCTGCTGCCCCGGGCCGTTGATAGCGAATGCGCGACCGACCTCTCAGCGTCATGTGATGAAGCGAGCTGCGTGCTACGCTGCCTCGCACTGGCGGTATGGTCGCCGAGCTGCCAGCACCGCCACCGCCAACACCGATGGGTATTTTACTCTCATTGATCGTTGCGTAGGGCTTCAATTGCTTATCGAGCACAGCGGCTATGGCGGTAGCGGGCTGTTGTTCTTGCTGCTGTTGTTGCTCCGCCTTGCGCAGGTGCTTCAATTCCATTCTGTCAACGGAGGGAGGGGGAGCGAAAATGGTGAGCCCACAGCCAAGCACAAGAGACAAGAGAGAAAGATGTAAGAGTTGGAGTAGAGGGCACAGGGTAAGCTTAACAATTGCACAGGAACCAAAAATACAAAAAAAAAAACAATCAGCGGAAGAGCAACAACATAAACATAATGGCCAAAAGGTATGTAAATAAACAAAAGAAAAGTATCGCAAGCACCCAAAAAATTTTGAAATCGTTTTTTTTTTATTTTTGTAATTTTGCATGCACAAACAAATTGTAAGACTAATTAATTGGAAAAATGTAAGTACATACTCAATAAACAATAAAAACAAAATAATTAGCTGCTAAAATTAGTGTTGTTAACGAATTTAAACGGTACTTTTGGCCGGCGCCAGCAAATCAAAAGTTATCGTTATCGATAGATATGGATATCGATAGCCAATATGCTCTCACGCCAGTGTTAAAAGTGGGCAAATACGGTTAGCGAGGGGGGAAAATTATAAATAAGCTAAAACTATGTATACATACATATATATTGTGTACTTATAATATATACAAACTGGCAAAAGGTGTAAAGCGAACGAAGGACATCAAAAAAAGGTGTACAAAATACTAATACACTAAACGAGAATACAAAATGCCGCAGCACAGTTCGAACTTGAATTCAAATCGTGTTCAATAATAAAATGTGGGTGTTTAGCGCTGTGTTGGAGGGGGTGGGGCAATCTATTGGGTGGGTGGGGGTATTGGACTGCACTTACCTCTTGCTATAGATGGCCAGACTGCGTGTGCGACTGGCCGCATTGGTCTGCACATTGTTGTTGTTGTTGTTGTTAGTGCTATTGTTGTTACAGTTATGCAAAGAGTTCAGATTATTGTAGTTATTGTTGTTAAGATTATGTGATGTTGTTGCTGCCGTCGTTGCTGTTGTTGTTGATGCTGCATTGGCTGGCAAACAACTGCCGGCTTTAAAGCCCAATGACGCCGTAGACACATTAACCACATTGTTGTTGTTGCGAAATGGCTGAGAGCGGGCGCGCGTATGTCGCTGATTCTGATCAGACTCGCTGCAGAAGCAAAAAGTACAGGGTATTTGTGTTGAGTATAACAATTATACAAGTCAAATATATTCAAAGCCCACCTGTTGCTGTTCACAATACGCGAATGATGCCGACGCAGCGCCTTGATCTGATTGAGTTTGTCGCCCTGCGTTTGGGTCTGCTTCTTCTCCAGCGCCGTTTGCGTCATGCGCACCGAGGACGCAATCGTATGACGCGCCGCCTCAATCACATTGGAGCTGGGCTTGCGCAGTTTCTTCTCGGTGCAGCTGCTGCCGGGTGGATCGAGGATGTTGGACATGGCGCTGTGGTTGCCGTTGCTATTGTTGCGAATGTTACCGACGCCGGGATTGACCAGACGACGCAGCGAGTTTGCTATTACCGTTGGCTTGTTGGCATTCGAGGGCGACTTGCGACGGCGCGTTGAGATTGTGTAGGTGGAAGTGAGCGACTGATCGGCTGCGGCACTGGCCGTGTCCGTATCATTATCGCTGCCATTGCAATTGGTCTCGTCCGTCGAGTGATAATGCAATTCCTGCAGTTCCAGCTGCTGCTCCGAAAGCTCCTCATCGGTTTGATCACAGGCCGCATCCAATGTATCCTGATCATTCAAATGCATTGTGTCCACACGCTGTGAGATGCCCTTTACGCGAGTCAGCAGCAAATCAACATGGTCGAAGGGATCAGACGATGCCAACGGCAGCGGCTTTTCTTCGAACATCTCACTCTTGGAGAACTTGTTCTTAAGCTCGATGCTGTAGATGCCATACTTGTGCTGCAACATCGACAAGGCGTTGCGCCGGCGCATGCGTTCTCCCTCGGACCATAGCCAGCTCTGTTTGCTGCAAGGGTGGTAAAATATTAAAAGCTTTTCGGGATTATAGTTGTGTCAATGCTACACTTACTCCTCCATCCACTGCTGCTGATGACCAATCACCGAGCCGGGTCGGCACAAACGCAGCCATGCGATGGCCTCTAGCGCACTGAAGCCATAATGCTTCATTATGTAGGCACCAATGAGGCTTCCAGTGCGTCCCAAGCCCGCCTTACAATGCACCGCAATGGCGCCCTTTGTAGTCTCACATATGGACAGAAATTTCTTGAGAATGGCATCGCTGGGCGTGCTGCCATCGATAAAGAATAGGTCCTTGTGATCGAAACCGGCATTCTCAAAGGATGAGGCATGGTAGACCTTCGCATTCAAACGGATCACAGTCGTCACATTGTTGTCCCTGAAGTAGCTAAAGTAACGCTCAGGCGCATGGCATGGATAGCCGTTTGGCAACGTCTTGGACTTCTGATGTGGTCCACAGAATGCTATAAACTTTTGCGGCACTATCCAATTAAAATCGCCGTTCTCAACACGCTCAAAGTACTCGTACTCCTCCGCATCAAAGTCATTGAAGTTAAGGAAGCCCGCCTGCAGGCTCTTATGTATGGCATTGAGGCAGTCGAGCAGCGAGATCTTAAAGCTGCTGGGCCCATAGCTGGCATCACAGAAGCGTGTATATGCGGGTACATCTCCAGTTGCGAGCAGTCTGTAGGCCTCCTCTGGAGTTTTCTTCAGGTAAATTATCTGAAAATAGGCGAATGTAAGACGTTAATACGTAAGTTATATTATATTATGAAGTATTGCATCAATTAAACAACTTTTTAATGTTCAGGAACTAAAAAGAGTTTTCTTTGATAATTATGCCTCGTTTATAGATCTTCTATTTACCTCTTCTATTACTCAATCTGTTCATTTAGACTATACTACTATATTACCCTCTTTACGACTGTTTCATCTCATCAACATGTTATATATTCATTCCTAAAGACTTCATAGACCTTTCACTTCGCTTCGTTACCCAATTTTAAATTAAAAGTAGCCTTACAATATCCTTTTTCATTTAGCCCACGCAACTGCTATCACCTATTGCACATACAACCCACACCGTGTGGTAATGGCCAAGAACAAGGTTTTAATTTCCGCCTTAACGAGGCGATGCGAGTGAGATATGCAATCAAGAAAGGTTACACTTACTGCATACGAACCAATCAGGTAGGCCGCATTGAGACGCTTCGCCGGATTCATGGAGGTGTAGTGCACGATTTTTTTGTTCGCGTGACTCTTGGCACTCAGTTTGGTGTTGAGCTTCATGCAATAGCGATACAGTATGCATATATTTAGCGGCCCGAAGTCGTTATAAAAGTTCTCATAGACATACTCTTCGTCTATACTAAAGTAATGGGTATTTGCAGTATTCTTTGGCTTGATGTTCTTTTTGAATACCACAAAGAATAGACGATCTGCAATGATGCGGAGGTCAAGTTAAGAGTTTAGCGAAAATGCAATTCAAAATTTCACATACCTTCTTGCATCTCTGTGGCACAGACCAACAGATCCGAATTATCATCTTCCAACATTTTGAGTGTGTTTTAGCGACTGCAAAGACAAAGAAAAGAGTTCTTAAAATGCAATGTAATCTCTGGCATCCTCAGTTATCTTTGACAAACAAGATACGAGTCTACAGTAAGAGCACCATGTTTAGACCCTGCTCGCAGCTCAAGTCTGCCCACGCATAGTTCTCTCTACAATGCTTCCGCTTGATTCCATAATAAATAACAATATTCTTTTATTTAATTTTTTTCATCTCTAGCCAATGAAATCGCCCACCCAACTGACTTTGCCCTAATTGGATAAAGTAAATGCTGCTTTCCACAAAAGGTTTCTCGCATACAAATATAGTACATAGTACATATGATAGATAGTCATAAACTGTATTGGAAAATAATAAACATGTTTTGTTCGATTTATATATATGAATTGGCCTCCTCGGCTGCCAAGAGGAGCACAATGTCTGCGACTATGCCGCATTTTCATTATTTGCCCCAGTTTTCCGAATAGGCGTGTTTGTGTGTGGATTATGGCTTTATTGATATGCATAAAAGGCACGTCAGACAGTCGTGTCCTGACATCCGCATCCTAATAAAATCTACAAAAATAGCAGTGCAACGACTACTAAATACGCTGCCATCAAAAACCTATTCAAGGACTGTTTCGAAATAAAAATTGGTTTTACATTTGAAGATTTGTAAACATTTTAATTATATTTAAATTATAGGTTCAAACATATCTTCGGTTTTTTATTTAGTTGAGCAAGGCTTTTAAATTCTTATTTCCTGATGCAACAGGATCTGCGGAACCTTCCCGACATATTGATGCTAACTATAAGCTCGTTAAAAGAAACAAACTTTGAGTTAAGAATTAAGAAAAAGAACGTTAAGTAACGTCTGTTGATGAACTTAAAGATATTACTTCCACGTAATCATTGATCATTTAATTTATTTATGATAATTTAATTTAATTGAAAATTTAAAAATTATAACTAAAGTGATATTTACAATATGAACGAGTTTAATTTTTCTTCATATGGAAGACATACGAAGGACATGTGTTTGGTCCTCAAATAGGCTATGCCATCTATTTTAGCATACTAGGATATAGGTATTCCTAGTATGAAACATATGGTTTGGGCGCAAGTTCTCGACACAGAGCTCGGTCAATAAAAAAAGTGCTTTCGTCGAGTCCTCAACAAACAAAGCTTGTGGGGATATCGGGCTCTGTGGGCCCCCAAAGTTTATGATGTTGGCCTGCCATGTCAAGGAATGTGTGTCGTTTACACACTCACTCAAACACGCACACTCGTAACACACACACACTACCAGCACATACATATATACTATTCGATTTTATGCAAATTTTTAACCTTTTGCTTAGCCAATCCAAAGAGCAGTTTGCGTGCCGTTAGGGAATTTTCGTTAAGGGACCTACATTTCCTTTTCCGGATTTAAAGTTTAAAAGTCAAGCCTTAATGGGGGATCTGCATGCCAGACCGCAGATTGCAATCAATGTGAGAAACTACGGACACAGGTGGGTTAATATACCCATACATATATCTAGATATAACACATGCATGTGTGTGTCTATATGAATTTACGAGAGAAGGAAATTTATGTGCTACGGATATAAATTAAACAGAGTGGCGTATAACTTTTAAGGTGTGTTAAGCCTGAAGAAAGATAAACCGATTTCAAGAATTAAGTAATAGAAGAAATACAGAAGACGGTCGGATTTTACCATTTTCTCATTTGTTGAACGAGGAAAACGCATATAAAATTCCATCAATAATTATAACACTTTTATTCCAATTCCAATGGGTTGATTTCAATTTGTTTCAACTACGGGGCGGTTCTAATAGATCTTAAATTCCAGTTTCATAAACTATTGTAAAATGTACATATGTATTATACATATATATATTGCCAACTGGCGAGTGTAATGTAATCTAATACAGCCAAAAGTCTTATTAAACCCTAGCTTAACGTCATACATCTACATACATATACTTATATATATATATATATATATGTATATGTGTCATCATCATTAACACTGAACTTGCTGTTAAAGTGTTGGTAAACAGAAAACTTCTAACGGGCATTTCAACCTTACACAAGTGTTTCCAATACGTAGTTTACTTTAGCGCAAACGCTTGCTATGGAATTCCAGCGCGCCAAAACAAACATGCATAGGTACATAAGTATATACTAAGGTATGTACATGGACATGTATGCATGTATGCGCACTGCACGTGACGAAAACAATCATATCACTAAAAACAATCATTCACACACACGCACACACACACACACGAGTACCGCTTATCGGTGACCGCAGCTTGTAAGCAAATAGTGTCCAATTGCATTCGTTGGTTTTGTAGTTAGAACTGAGCTGGGCGCAGAGCGTTTGTAAAACAATAAGTATTAGAAACAACTTTTTAAAAATAGCACTACCATATGACGTCACCAACTCGCAACAATAGCAAAGCACAACAACAACAAAATAAAAGCCACTCTCTGTTGTCAACGTAAAATGAATGGCGATGTTCGACTGCGGCGATTCACAGTTAGTTGTCAGTTTTTTTTAAAATGAACGTCGAGGCCGAAGCAGAGATTTTTGCCGCGCGTATAGCACACACACACAGACAAAAACTGACAGCAATACACAAATACAACAGCAATAGCAACAGCTTCTCCAACTGCTCCACGCTCCACACTCCTCCCACAGTGTTTGCTGTTGCCCTGTACTGCGCATGGCTTACGTTCGCTCTCTTGCTCAAAAGCTGATGCGACTATGCTCCCGCTCTCTTTCATTTACACTTGTTCATTTGTCCCGTGAGTGTGTGTGTGTTTGGTGTTGTATTAATAAAAGCAACCAACGCATTTTTTTCAAATCCAACAAAATGAAACTAAAACGCGAAATAACGAAGAAGCAGACGTCGCACTCTATGTTATGTGTACTGCGTAATCAATTTTTGGGGGTATACTCGTACTCGAAGAGCCGTCCGCTGGACTATTTTTATTGTATTAGCGGGGCGGTGGGGTCTGTAAGTTGCATAGTTGGCAGGCAGGTACGTATGTGACTGCGGACTCACCTAAATATTTATGGGTGTTTGTGTATAGATATGCACAACGGGATGGGGCAGCAGCAGCAGTAGCCGTACACACACCATGGAACTAGAAATTTAGCTGTGACAAAAAATGGACTCTGCATAACACAGCACCACACAATGTTTATAAACTTTTTTTTTTGTGTTTGTGGGGGGTTATAACAAATTTTGATGACAAATGTTACACATAAAATTTTTTCTGATTTACAGCCCAAATAACAACATTTTCATTGTGAGTTTTGTTTTAAATTGGCTCCTGTATCGTTTCGAATTTGTTATGTTTTCAAAAATCGTAACGATCTAACAGGGGTAAACACTCAAGCTCGCGTACGATCGACTGCTCGGTAGCAGCTCCAAAAGTGAACTGGCAACTCGTTGCGGTGTTGGCGCTTTTTCCGTTGCATTTTGTGCTCTCCTTCGTTTTGTGTTTGTGTGAGAGCTGCCTATCCCCCGAGCGCCCTTAAAAGCCATGTTGGCGCTATTAAGTTAACCAATACTAAGATAACCGTTTTTATTACTCACTCCCTCTCTCACTCTCTCTCTCTCTGCCGCTCACACTCATTCTCTGCGTATGCAGGGCTGCGAAAATACTAAAATCGCGTTGCCAACACATAGAAATGCCAGAGATGTGTTTTATGTGACAGTTAAATTTAAATAAAGGGATAAATCAACTAAATGGTTTTGCAAGAATTAAATTGATTTGAGAAAATTAGTATTTCCAATAAAATAGATAAAAAAATATAAATATTATTAGAGTTGGTACAATAAACAAAGCGTGATACGTTATATATTTGGTTATTAGTGCATTTGTTTGAAGAGAGGCTAATAAAACAACACTAAAATCTTGCATAAGCCACAAAACTCTTTCCTTACTCGCCTTACTTCTGTGAAAACATATTCTCTTTCAAAACTCATTTTCATTTTGTGTGTTCGTGTCTTCTCTAGTTAGAGTTGGATTGAGTTGAGTGTGAGCTGTAAGAAAATCATATGTACTTGGTGTTTTCTTATGTTGTGCCAGCTGATTGTAACGTGTAGGGGCCATTTCTTACAGCCTTCCGATGTCTTGTTGCCTGCCTTGTTTGACAGGACTTGTTGAGCACAGTGTAAAGTGGCAAAAAAAATGAATACTCTATATATTTGAAGGTAGGTAGTTATTTATTTTTTCAAAATATCCACACAAATTTTTTAACGTAAATTGTAGTAACATTCGATTTTAAATATCCTCAAATGCGAGCGCAACTCAGCAGGTACAACCGATTGTAGAGTGTATGGGCTACTTTATGACTTCATCTTCTCTACTCTTATACTTGCGATCGCTCTTGAGCTCTCGCTTAAAGTATCTCAAATACATTTCTCGTGCCGCACAACAAACCGTTTGCTCAGTAACGAGTGTGGATCTTTGGCGATCGGACGGGTTTTTTCGGCAGTCCCGGTTTTTCAGTTGCCGTCCTCTGATTGTCTTGGGAAAATATCTTCTGTGTTTGTGGCTGTATATGTATGTGTGTTTGTGCTCCCTTTAAGTTTAAAAAAAGAAGTCGAAAAGTGTTTGCTGTGCCTGCAACAGCAACAAAAACAACAACAACGACTGAGCAGTGTTGCATGTTTGTTGTTTTTTTGTGTATAACAGAAAATGTTGAATTAAAACTGCAAGGAGCAGGAGTGGGAGTTGTTGCACGCCGCGGTAAGAAAATAACCAAATTAAATTGTTCTCTACAATTTAGCTTTAACCTCAACTCATAATTTTAACTTATAACAAAAAGAAGTTGTACGCAGTTTATGCTACGCAGCTGTTGTTGTTGTTGCTTTTGTTGCTGTTGTTGCCTGCGTTTATCTGTTTTGCTCCGTTTGTTGTTACTTCTTCTGCTTCGCCTTCTACTTCTCTGCATCCGCTGTTGCTCTCGCTGTTGTTGTTGTTGTTGTTTCTACTGCAAGACTTATCGCTAGCTGTGATTTTTACTAAAACAAAAAAAATGTATGTATTTCATATTGTCACAGCAAAAGTTTACATTGTAAAGCACATGAATTCTTTCGGATTATATGCGACTTGTAACATGATGCCTCATACCCAAATCCATTCGAGAATGTCTTGCCTTGCATATGCATACATATGCCCCGCGCATGCATAGCTGCGAGGGCAGTTCAAGACGTTTGCGTTTTTTAACTAATTGGCTAAAACTGATTTTGGTTTTGACGGTCTGTTAACTTCATGCATTTAAAAAAGTTCTTTTTGTTTAAAAATTGCTGGATGAGTCATTTTTTAATGAAATTTTGTTGTTTTTAATAAATATTGACGAGTTCTATTATTTATAAAATTTTCATGTATTTTATTTTTGTTGCTTGAGGAGTCATGTTTCTAATTAAATTTACATGTTTTTTAAAAATTTCCTTATGTTGCTTGACGAGTTCTGTCTTATTTTTAAGTATAAAACAGAATTGGAAAATTCAATGTTTTTAATTTCAAGCAACTTGACAATGATTTGAATTTCTTAAATTTTCTAATACTAGTTCTTATCTGAACCTCTTTATTAACCCCTTTTAAAAGAAATTGTCAATATATTATATCATTAAATCAATAAACAGTGCACATAATTAGTTTTCTATAAATATGTACTTTTAGGTCTTCCAATTTTTTTAATCTTTAGTAGTAAAGAATTTGATGATAAGGCTTATAAATGAACAAACTATATTTTGATTCATACAACTTTTAGATGAAAATAAGAAAATAAATTAAATAGACACAAATTAAAAAACAGCTTAGGTTAAGAAACTGCTTTCTACAACTTATTAAACCACCCTCGCAAATAAATGTATATAAATATATATATATATATATATTAAATGCACGCGTGTGTGTGTGTTAATTATGTGTGAGTGCACTAGGCAAGGAATAGTGCATTAAAAAGCTAAGCAAATTGTTTTTTTTTTTTAACGAGGCTACCAATTAAAATATGAGCCAAGGCTTGGATCTGACAGATCTGCATCCGCAAGATACAGTACACGAGCTGGGCATGTGCATCTATCTCTGTGCGCCACAATGTGGGCAGGACTTAGTTCAGGCCTAATAATAGTTTTGACGCCGCATGCTGATCTCATTTGATTTGGCCAGGGGAAGGGGGCGGGGGTCGGGGACAGCACACACATGTTCTCCATAAGTGAAAACAGTTCCAGCTGAGGATGTGTGGTCAATAAGCAGCGCGCTCTGATGGAATTGAAAATATAAACATGGCAAAGCTAAAAAAACATGCACACTAGCAATTTTTACGAACCCGCCGTACCTATATATCTATCTATATATATATATATATATATATCCGTGTGTATTATAAGATATCTATGTATGTACATAGCACAAGCATCAGAATGAAGTCGGAATCGAGAATTGCTTCATTTTGAGACTCTTTAAATTATTCGTGCAACGGGTGTATTATGTTGTATTCAATTCCAGGAAAAACTTCACTATGAACGTATCATATTTTCTTCAGTCAGTTGTAGTTTAAATATATGTATATCCATATTTCTCCTTATAAAACCATCTTACAAAATGATCAAAAGAAACTGCATTTCTCTCATTGTTAATTGTTTATGTTTAATATAAAACCTTTCGATTAGTTTAGGATTACTTAACACTATTGTTTTATATCCCCAACACAGGGTATTTAAAATTCCAGCATTTCTTTTGCTATATTCTCTTTTATTTACCCAATACCAATTCATAAACAAACACAAACACCAGCCACAGAGTGTGTCTCTGTGCTCCACTGTGTCTGTCTGTGTGTTTGGTAAATTAACTTTTTGTTTAGTTCCTTGATTATTTGTTTATTTGCCAGTCTGCTGTCCGCCTTTTTGTGCTTTTTGCTGTGCCCCAAACGAAACTGAAATTAACAGCAGCAGAAAACATAAAAGAATCTACATCAATTACAGCAAGCAAAAGGAACAGTTATCTTGCTTGATCAAATACCCTATAGATATATGTACATACTAAAGTCTGATAACACCTTACATAATACAATGCAGGGTTTTTTTTTTAAATATAAGTTAATAATAATATTATCACAATGATAATAAATATAAACAAAGATCAGCCGACAGACAAACTAAAGCTCTACGCTTTACTACTATACTACTGTACTATTTCTCCTGATTTAGAATTTGAATCTAGTTCAACATTAATCAAAGGAAAGTCTGGAATCTACTTATATTATTATATATCAACAGATGTTGCTAATGTACTATTATCCCGATTTAGAATTTGAATTTTGTTCAAAATGAATCAAAGGAAAATCTAAACTCTTTATTTTATCACCAGATGATGCCTCCCCACAGTTTCCGTTAGAAGAGTTCACCAACTCTCATACATTTAGAGAAAAATATAGAATCTCAGTTCAAATTGAAATGAGCATTGGTATTAATCCATTATTCAGACAATGATTTGCTTCCTTGCTTCCATGCTTCCTCATTCCTTTTGTCCTGTCTGAACGACTGACTAAGTGGCTTGATCGTGCATGGCTTAAAAGTCTGAGCGTCGGACTAAGAAAAGAAATATCGCTGGTTCAAATGCAGCAGCAAATTTCAAATGCTATATTTGCTCATTTAATCAGTTGGTATTAGAGTTTTATCATAAATTAAAATAAAATTCCTTAAAGCGAAAATATGTGTGGGGGATGGGTCGCTTGCACTATTAATTTGAACCGGACAACGCCGGTTAATTTCCTCCAGTATTCAATAAAAAGTTGATATCAATGTGTTACACATTTCAACACATAAGGATGTAACTCTTTACAAGTGAATAAAAACCGTCAATGGTCTAAAGCACAACACACACGCGCACACGCACATACATACATAAACACACACCCATACACACAAGCACACACATACGTAGAGTTATGTATACATAAATAAACATATACGCACGCATGTGGCACATACAAAGTCGCATAGTCTGTGAATGAACTCTTATCGGGCCATGTCGTTCTCGAAATTACAAAATAGTTGTGAAGCCGCCTTCGCAGTTTGGCAGGGAGCGTTGCGTTGGGGCGATTTCATCCCAATTCCAATCAATGACCACATCTTAGGCACCAATTTTTGACTTATGCCGCCAGAACTTATGCTTATCTCCGGCTACTGCGGCTGCTGGGTCTCTAGCACAATTTTCATTTTACTTAGTTGCGTGTCCAATGGAACTGGGCTGATAAGAACATAGACCCAGATTTAATATTCAGACACAAAATCCGTATAATCAAACAAATAAAATCAAGTTAAATACCCTGGCATT